TATATTGACTTTGGGCAATTTGTTGGGTGATGGCGCTGCCACACCGCTGGCCTCCATTAGCTTGACCTTCTCCTCGAGATGGGCCGCCTTGGCCTCCGCCTCCTGTTTGGCGCTCTCGAGCGCCTCGATCTTCTTCTCATACTCCTCGGCACGTTGCGTCTCCTTGGCCTTTGATTTCTCCACAATGTCGTCCAACAGCACCGAAGTGTCAATCTTGAAGTCGCGATTCTCAAAATTGGGATCACAGTAGCCCTTGTGGAATACGATCTGTGTTATGCACTCCTCGATCAGCTGATAGTAGGCGGGACGAAAATAGAAATCATCGCGTATGTACAATAAATGCTGTAGAATGGAGAGAAAATATGGCTCCGAGCTCGTATCTGTGACCAGATTCTTGAGCACATCGAAACAATCCTGTGCATCGTCCATATTGAATTCGACATTGTCGAATCGTTGGACGAACTCCTCGAAATCATCGTCGCGTATCTCCTTGAAGATCTTGAAGTGCTCCTGCAGCGCCTCATTGTTGCTGCTCTCGACAATCTCCTTGAACTCATCCAGCCGTTCGTACAGACCCATTCGCATGATCTCGCAGCGCAAATGTAGACGAAAATTCAAATCTGTCGGCGTATTTGTGAGCGTATTGATAAAGATGAGACTGTGGCAGGCCAGCTCCCGCTTGGGATCCTGTTTGTCGGAGGCAAAAAGTGCATCCACAATGGGCCTAAACCGTTCGCTCGACTTGTACGACGAGGCCGCAATTGTCGTAATGGCACGCAGCACCTTCTCATAGCCATTCCGTTCGTACACAATGCAAAAGGAGGCCAACAGTTTGAGCGCCTCGCACATGGTTTGCGGCTTGCGCGGATCCAGCGACTGGGCCAACAGCAGCACCACGCTATGCTGATCCGGTGTCAGGACCACATTCAAGCCCCACGTATTATTCATGATGGCCTTCAGGCAGCGTATGGCCTCGAATTCGATGCGATCGTAAGTGCGATCCTTTTTGGCGCGCGCCAGCAGCTTCTCGATTTGCTCGATGCCCGCCTCCCCAAACGCCTTGATCCAGGATATCGTGTTGCTGTTAAGCGCCACACGCAGCGATTCCACGCACTGATAAACCTTATTCTCGCTGTGCTCCCCATTCTGTAGATACTCGATGTAATCGTTGGGCTTCTCAAACCGAGAATTTGCTCTGCGCTCCAGTGAGTTTTTGCCTGCGGATGAAGTGTAAAGTAGAAAGTGTTTTATTTAGTTGTGCTTCAATAACTCAAGTCTAGTTAAAGCCAGGAAAACTTGGCTTATATCATATGCCAAGCGGTAAACATAAGTAGATAGCGACTGTTATGTGAAAATGTGGGCATTTCTGGTAATGGGTCCAACCAAACCAAAGAAAAATTGGTTTTAGCAGACATTTTATTTTCTTTACAGTTCCTAAGCAGCTGTTAACTTGCTTAACAGTTTGTTTGCTTTACAGCTGTCCAGCAGCTTATTTTTCTTATACAACTGTTAAGTAGCTGTTAACTTGCTTAACATTTTTTTTATTTTACAGCTGTTAAGTCAGGGGAATGTAGCACTGTACTCAAGATTAACAGCTGACAGGGCGCTTTTTACTGTAAATCAAACTGCCCAAGCATTTGGCGCGTTTCGGTCCAGTTACTCGCTTTGCTGCTGCTACCCAACCAAGGCTTCGTTATCAGAGGCCTTTCAATGCGTATATTGCGTGGCTTTATCAGCGAGAGGAAACGATTCTTAACGTTTACTTAAAATATAACCTTGGCTCTTGTTTTTTTGTACCGAAAAGCATCAACGGAATGCAATGCAGAAATACATGAGTACAATATGTTCGTTTATGTGCGAATATACATATGTATATATTAATATATTTATTATTCAAAACAATCATTGAAATGTGCATGTATGCATATTTAAAATTACGTCAATTGCATTTGCTGCAGACGCCTGGACGCTGATTTTGTTGATATTTTTTGCAATTTTTATTGCTCGAGAGTGCAAAACTCAAGTGCATAATGCACACAGCAACAGTTATATCAACACTAGCAATAACAATAAGTAGGCAATGCTCTCAACAGCAGAGAGAGAGCAAGAGCGAGAGCGAGAGAGCGCGTGCGAGCAGTGCACAAGGCAAACTTCATAGCGCATCGATGCTCGAAAGCTTTCTGTTTTTTTTTTTAACCTATCTTTTTTTTTCTTACACGTAATGCATATCCATAAATATACACTTGTACGCATGTGTGTGTGTGTATGTGTGTTCGTACGTTTTCTACGTGTATAAATGACAAAATCAGATGAAAATAAATGCTGCGCAGGCGATGATAAATCCAAATGATGCCCAATAAAAAAAAAAACAAAACGGGAGAAGGCGTTGAGTACAGCTACAGGTTGGAAAAGAAAAAGAAAAGAAAGTGGAAAAACAACGGCAACAATAAGAATCTTTAAAGCACAGTGGTTGTGTTTATTTTATAGCAAAACATCGACCTGAGTTCCAAATGAATGAACTCTTCGAAATTGTTTATCCATAAAGTATTTTTACACTTTATTGACCCGTTGGGCAAATGTATCTTCAGCATTTGTAAGAGCAACACTCGCTTTAAGGTATTTGCACAAATTATCAAGACATTATCACAAGATGTAGAAGATAGAGACAAGTCTGATCTAATTAAGCGTATGGCTTATCAGCATGTTGAGCTAAATTGTCATTTCAATGTTATCGCAATTCTTGAGACTTATGCTACACATACGAATTTACATATGTATATGGACGGGGCTAGACAAACACACGGCACAGTGTGAAGAACATAGAAAAACTCAAATTAATATTGTATCTGAATGTAAATTTGCAAGCATGCTAAGATTTATAATGTACCCAAACATGGACTTCGTCCCGTTCAAGCTGCTAACTTAACATGCACTTCAAAGAGCTAACGTTAATGTTAGCGAAAACTGTTGCTGATAGATGGCGCTAAGAAGACCATAAAGCGAGTTTCTTATGCACAACAAATTGATCGACTTTGTGCTTATTAAAGCAGCATTTCTATAGAGTAAGTGTATTTAATTGTCGTGCGTTTTTTATATTAGCTTCCATGAGCAGCTGTTAATTAAAATGTTTGGAAGGCGCGCGCGCCGCTTGAGTTAATTAATAAAACGGTCTCATTTTTGTTTTTTTTTTTTTTTTTCACAGTCGGTGCACCGTTTTTGGTGACGCCCCTGTTGAAGTATTGCTGCCAGGCAGTTGTTGGTTTTTTTTTTTTTTCTTTTAGCGGTTAGGCAATTGTAAATTAGCATATGTTTTAGGCCAGTTAATTGAAATGTGTATCTGGTCGCGAAATACGAATTTTTCAATTGAGGTTTTGGGCGCGCATTTGATATGCGAAAATTGGGCACAAATTGTTGCACCCATTTTATTTTCAGATAAGACTAGCCATATCTTATACAAGGTGTATATGCATTGATAACGTTACATTCCAGTTAAAATGCGGCATGAATCATGCGCTAAAATAGCAAATGCGAACGAGCGCAATACGAGGTGATAATTTAATAGAAATGCTGGCAAATCGCATAAAAACTTGGCTAGAAGAAAGCACACACAGCGCTACAGTAGTCGCTGGCTAATTGACGACAATCAGTTAATATGAGAAATGTTCAGAAATTACAGATTCAGGTGAAAGAAGTTTATGCTCAGTAAGTTCTTAGTTTGCATATTTTCAATTAAAATATTAGTTCAATACGATTAGTTTGACGAAAGTGTTCAGCTTAGCGAGCGATCACTGTACTCGTGTCTTGTATTCCACCTTTAAGTTTGCGCACCTGTCAATCTTATCTGAGGCCAACGCATTGGTTCATTGTCTTTGTGTGTCCCTCAGCCCGCCCGCTCTCTGCCCCTCTCTACACATACCTTTCATGTGCATGAATATCATCTTCTGGCGCTCCTCCACGGTCTTGCTGAGCAGCGGTTCGCGCTTGTCCTTGGGTATGTTCATATCCTCGATGATTTCCAGAAATTTGGCATTCACCTCTGCCTCGGTCAGATCCTGTATGTGCCGCTGCAGCTCGTCCACATCCAGGGCCCCATCATTGTCCGTGGAGACGGGCCGGCCGGCGCTGTGCGGCAGCGAGTTGCTGTTGTAGTTGCCGCTGCCCTTCGATTTGGAGGGGCGGCCGAACCAGCTCTCCAGCAGGCCGCCGCCCACCGATTTTGACTTCTCATGCCGCGACATGCTGCAAGCAAAAAATGCGATTTTAGTTAAATTAAATTAATTAATCTATTGGGAAAACAGTCGAACCCAAATTTTCTGAGACGCATTTTGCTGCACTAGTGTAGGTATGTGCGTGTGTGTGTGAGTGTGTGTGTGTGTGTGTGTGAGTGTCTTATTTGTTTGTTTTCTTGGACATGCGCAACGTTGGCTTTGCACAGCTGTTCATTGTTTACAAACGGGATCTCTCTCTCTCTTTCTCTTTAAACTGCACGCCCCGAGCATCTGCAGGGCACTAGCACAAGCATCCCCCACCAAATCGAATGCAACTCTATTATCAGCGATGCTGCCACTTGTTTATTTACCGTAAAAACATATTGGCAGCGGCAGAGGGATACGAGCAGAGCTACAATTGAGCTAGAGATGAGCGCGTGCCTTGAACTTAATTTTACAGCTGTTCATATGAACGAAATCAACTATCGCTCACGAGCTCTCACTCCAAATAGTTATTTTTGAGAATAGAACAAAAAACCAAACGATTAACGGTAATTAAAGCTTTGTTGATTTTAGACTCTAGATCTTTAATATTCATATAGGCACTGGAAGAGTAACAGGTAACAGGTCTGCATATTTAAAACTTTTAGAAACATAATTATGTTTATTCTTTAAGTTACATTGTATAACCTTTCTTGATAAACATTAAATGCCAAGTCGCTTAGGCCTTCTTTTTATGTAAGCAACATTTACATTTTAAGGTATCCAAATATATATATATTTTTATTGCAGGCATTACAGCCCGGAGCGGATCGAACTAGTATAAATCAACAGGCTGCCAAAGCAAAAGCAATCAATAAGTACGAGTGTCACAGTGAGTAATATCTAGTTAACATAAAAATACTTAAATATGTGCAGCCTCTATAAAAACTATCGGAAAAAGTAATTTCATTTTGGAAAAAACTTTTAATCATTGCCATATATCCTGATCAAACATACTATTTATCATTTATTTTAGTTATTTATCATGTTTTATATACAAATAATTGATATTTCATCGATAAGAATATCCTTTATTGAACTCTGATTGCAAGCGTGACATCTTGCGATACTCACGCCCATCCCTAGCCGCTAATTAACATGTTAATGATAATTCAGAGCGGTGTTAAGGGGGCACGTGGTGCATGGAAAACTGTTCATTTAAATCACAAATGCAAACATTAAAATGTAAAAACTTAAATACACAAATGAGATAAATACATAAGTAATAAGCGTTATTGAGCGAGCTGCAAAAAAATATGACGCGATAATTACCAAAGTAGGAAACGACAAAAAAAAACATAGGAGAGCGCATGAGAGCGTAAAGGAGAGAGAGAGCAAAAGATAAAATTTACGCGGGGTCATCGTTAGTTGTGTGTGCGTGTGTGTGTGTGTGTGTGTGCGTCATTTGGCGGCATTCAAATGCAATTTTGTCAGTTAAATTTTGAATTTGCGACTCGATCAACGAGGCCTGGTTAGAAGCTAAGCTTATGATTCATTTAGAAGACAGGTTTTGCCGCTCGATGTTGTCATCGGCAGCAAACTGTGAATGATCTTAGGCAGATGTGTCTGCCTGTCGAGAGCATTGCAAAATATCTTAAACAGCTCTGCTTTGCAGCAGAGATCAACAATTTCTTTTCATGTCGAGTAGGAAATGCTTTCAACAAGATTTCTTTAGCTCAAGAATTTACCGCTGCTGCTGTTAATTCTGTTGTAATCGCTTCAGTGGCTGAATAGGCCAATGCAGCAGCAGCCGCAGCCATAATAATAAGCCCGAAGTGCTCGACTAGCAGATACCCTCTAACCACACACTATAGAATATAGGTGTGTACATTCTTAAAATAACTTTCATGATTGTGGTTCGGTATTCAAAATGTTTTCTTAGCGCAAGTGGTATCAGTATATTACATACACAAACATATCATACCCCATTTGCATGCCACTTTCATTGCGCAGCACACTGTGGCAGCAACATCAGTTTTGTTTACACTGAAGCTAATGCACTTTGCTGCTAATGAACATCATGTACGGCAATTGTAAACAATCGCTGTGTGGCGCGCTTTCAAATTTATATCAAAATAAAATGGATAACGGCTTCAAAATGCAAGAAACGTGCTCTGGAATGCTGAAATTCCAAGAAGAGCCGATTAACAAACAACTACTACAACAACAACAGCAACAACAACAACTGAGGCGAGACTTAAAGCAAGAATTCATAAATGTGCTCACCTTCGTCTCTACATGTATGCATATATGCATGTATGTGTGTGTGTGTGTTAGTGCTGTTTTGTCGCTGTGCTCACTTTTGATTTTTCGGTGGTTTACGTCATAAGACTAAAAAAATAATGGCTTGGTTGGCAAAGGCAGGCGCACGCACACAGACACACACACACGCACACACATACGATCAAAGAGAGCAGTCAAACACCCCCCGTACTGTTTGTATTGTCACAGTGGTTGTTGTTGTTGCTGTTGGGTGCGCTGCTAGCCGAATTCTTTTTTTTTTTATTTTTTGTTTGTTTTATATGCCGCGACGCTGGCCCAGAGCTGCGCAGCGCACTTTAAGCAGACAACCACACACACACACACACACACGCACACGCAGTGTCTGCTTGCTTTGCGTGGTAATTACAAGGCGATTTATTTAAACAAGTACGCAAGTTTTGTGACATATACAATAGCTGACAAGAATTTCGCTTACTTTTTGTATTTGAATTATTATTTTTCGGTTTGGCGTTGATCACTTGGCTGTTTGTGGTGATACCACTTGTTGCTGTCTCGTTGGCGCATTAAACGACACATGAAACGGTGCAAATTTAAAGCTCTGCTACGTGCGCACGCTTATCTAAACACTCTGTTCACAAATTAACACGTAATTATATTGTGATTCGATTCGCCGTTTGGCACAAATTACACAAACATTAACAATTCAAGCGTTCCTCTAAGCGTTCGGTTAAGCATTTGCTATTTCAGTTCAGTTCATTTCGTTCAGTTCCAATTCGATTCAAATGTTATTTATTATCGCTAGCGTTGATATCGTTTCGCTATCGATTTAAAATATAAATGTATGTTAAGATCGCTACGATACATTTCAATGTTGAGGCGCTAAGTTAACATTATACAACGTCAAATAGTCGTGTTTTTAAAATTTTTTCTATAGAGTTTATTATGTTAGTCTCGCATTTTAGCAAAAGTATTACTAAACTAGTTCTCTCTGTCTATATCGTAGATAATTTATTTGATAATATTCAATTTTTAATAATTCTTAATAATCGAAATCGGATACATTCAAATTTAATGCAATTACTAAGATGGTTAAAAATATCGATGATACTATCGATATAATGTCACTAGTACTTTCGTGACTGTTCACTCAGGGAAGTTAGCACTAATAATCGGACACCGGCAAAATATCGGAAATAAGCCGCGCAAATTTGTTTTAATTGTCTCTTTATCAATAAGTGTTAAAACTGAAATTCGAATTAAATTGATGAATAAAAAGTATGAAATAAAAGTATTTTCCAAATTTTCCCGTCTAAAGCAATGTGATTGATAAGCCTTTAAGAAACTAATGCACGATTACAGACACAAACAAAATTTCAATGCTTAAAGGAGCTGCCTTTTATATATATTTCGAAAAAAACACAGATAATTTAATGACCACATAGACCATAGTTTTCTTTGAGACTGTTTCGATTGTTTTTAATTGTTTACCACGCACTATGTGTCTAAATATGAGTGTGTGTGTGTGTTGTGTTAACATACTTATAACCACAGTTATAGCTAATTATTAGATAATTAATGGCATTTATAATGCTAAAATTAGGCTACAAAACGTAATTAAAAACATATGTGATAGTACATTAAAATCGAATAATTTGTTATCCGCGAGTAGATACATAAGATACATTCCTCCTAATACTTAGAAACTAAAGTATTTCTATTTGCTGCCACTAGCTGCCTTTTCTTTCGCTAATCCAATCGCATTAACATTTAACATAGACATTAAATTCAGAGCTTAAACCTAAAATACTATTTACATTTAGTGGTCTGGTCCAGCAGCTTCTTCCACAGATCAAACTGTTCGTTCGATTTGATCATATGCACGCTAATCGCGTTGCGTATATTGCACGGATTAAATGAGATGCGTCGATTGACAAACTCGTTCACATGCAAACGCTCAATGCCCAGGCTTTGGGCCACAATGCCCGTGGTGAAGACATCCTCCAGCTTCAGATAGACCGTCTTCAGCGAGCGCACATAAAGATCATGCACAACCTCGCCGGTCATCACGTAGGCGGGTCCCGTGGTAAACGATGGAAATACGGCAGCCGGAAATTGATCAGTCGATACATAGTACTTTGATTTCTTGTTGCGTATGGGCTTCCATTTTTTGGCCAAGCGGCCAAAGATGGCGCGCTTCTGCTTACGCTTTTCCAGCTGTGTCAGAAACGTCAACAGCCTAGGCACATTGATGAACATATCGTCGTCCGTCTTCAATATGTACTTAGCATGTTGGCAATGCTGATCGACCCACTCCAGCGACGAGATGGTCTTCAGCGTTAGATTATTGTATGAATCAATAAAATTGCCGCGTATCAGATCGCCGTAAATGAAGTTCTCCTGGCTAAGCGCCACATTCACCGTCTCGTTGGTGCCGCGACCCACCACAAAGGCCATGCTGATGTCCCGTCGTACGCCGTAATGTCCCCAGGTCTGGCGTATGGACATGCGCGCATCCGCATGCGTCTGTGCCGAGGTGATCAATACGAGCAGCCGGATGGTGGCTCCGTTCAGCGGACAAAGGCGTTCCAAATCGATTTCATCGTTTAGATGGCCGCTTTCGTAGATCTTCTCCGCTGCAATGCCTTTGGACGGATCCACCGGACCATTGGCTGTTGCCTTGTTGTTAACCTTCACCTTTGGCATTGGTGGTTTTGGAGCCGGCGGCGACTTCTCCTTCTGCTCGGCCGCGTCCGGCGCAGTTTTCACCGGCATTACAGCATATGAACCAACTGCCGCATTGTTGTTGTCCTGCAAATTAATTTGCAAGTCCTCAATCAGACCCGGCTGATTGGTCTTATCTGCAAACAAAGCGTACAAAATTTGAGTAATGTTTTCGCGAATAAGCAACATATGTGTATATATAGTGTATCTATGGGTTGTTGTTGTGTGATGTGCAATTTAATAGCGCACGCAAACAAGCCAAACCTTTGTCCAGTTCACAGTTAGACCGTTATGGGAAATACGATACCTCACACTGGCGGACAATTGGAAAACAAACAAAACCGACTTCAGCTAATGACTGCTATTGTTGCTGATGCTATTAATGCGACCGTGTTATACCCTTGCAGCAGGCACTGACAACGTCATCTCGAAACAAATGCTCGATCAGCGCGACGAACTAAGCTGATTGCGAAGCTAGCTTAGGAAGACATTGGATACGTCTTTTGGCAGCATCGAACGGACCACTTTATCATTTAGCTGACTTGGGAGTTTTTGGCCTAAAATGTGTTTTTGTTTTGAAAACATTTTTGTTTCAAGTTACGAGCTTCATCATGGCATAAAGCTCTTAAAGCAACTATGTTTTTTTAAAGATATATTGAATGAAATCTCAAATGATGATTTTGCTACTGAAAGAGAAGCGCATCGAAATCCGAAAATGCAATTCTTAATTCTTAAACAAATAATCTGTTGATCCAATGCATTTATAAACGTCTAATATTGCTCGCATTGCATTGATTCTTGGCTAGTCTAGGAATATTTTTAATGCCTGCCAGGGTATTTCATAATCGGTCACTCCAAAGTTAACTATTCTTGCTGTCTTGTTTTTGTT